AACTAGTTGCAAGAGCTTTACTAACTAAATATTGCAACTTTTGGCCAGGCACGGTGGGTCATATCAGTAATCCCAGCACTTTGGGAGGCCAAGGCAGGCAGATCACTTGAGCTCAGGAGTTCCAGACGAGCCTGGGCAATGTGGAAAAACCCCATCTCTAAAAAAATAAAAATTAAAAAAATACACCAAGCATGGTGGTGCATACCTGTAACCCCAGCTACTTGGGAGGCTGAGGTGGGAAGATCACTTTAGCTGGGGAGGTCGAGGCTGCAGTGAGCCGTGATCATGCCACTGCACTCCAGCTTGGGCAACAGAGCAAAACCCTATTTCAAAAATAAATAAATACTGCACCTCTCTTTTTTTGGTACTAAGGCAGAAGTACATAGACTGATTTCTCCAACTTTGAGCAACCCCAGATGACTCCACTTGAACAGAAAAGAAATTGAAAGTTTAATCGTGTATAACCCCTTGTGTAAACAATCGGGGGAAAAAGTGGTTAGGTTCTGGCTGGTGATATTTTACTTCAATGAGGTCATGTAGCACAGTGAAAACAACGAATAACTCAACAGTAGGGAGACTTGGGATCTGACCGCATTTTTGCCATTGGTTAAATGACACGCAAGTTTACTCGGCTGCTGCAGGCAGGCATCCTCCTCCATGAAATGGACTAAACAATCTCCACATTATTAATGCTTTGCGACTCCACTTTCCAAACATGGAAATGCGTTTGAAGACAATACCAGGCCCTTGAAAACGAAGAGGGGAAGGTAAAAAACCATCTGCAAATGGGGAAAGGAGTCCCTGTTTAATAAATGGTGTTGGGAAAACTGGCTAGCCATATGCAGAAAGCAGAAACTGGACCCCTTCCTGACACCTTACACTAAAATTAACTCCAGATGGATTAAAGATTTAAACATAAGACCTAACACCATAAAAACCCTAGAAGAAAACCTAGGCAAAACCATTCAGGACATAGGCGTAGGCAAGGACTTCATGACCAAACACCAAAAGCATTGACAACAAAAGCCAAAATAGACAAATGGGACCTAATCAAACTCCACAGCTTCTGCACAGCAAAAGAAACAATCATTAGAGTGAATCGGCAACCAACAGAATGGGAAACAATTTTTGCAATCTACCCATCTGACAAAGGGCTAATATCCAGAATCTGCAAAGAACTAAAACAGATTTACAAGAAAAAAACAAATAAGCCCATTCAAAAGTGGGCGAAGGATATGAACAGACACTTTACAAAAGAAGACATACATGGGGCCAACAAACATATGAAAAAATGCTCATCATCACTGGTTGTTAGAGAAATGCAAATCAAAACTACATTGAGATATCATCTCACACCAGTTAGAATGGTGATCATTAAAAAATCTGGAAACAACAGATGCTGGGGAGGATGTGGAGAAATAGGAACACTTTTACACTGTTGATGGAGTGTAAATTAGTTCAACCATTGTGGAAGACAGTGTGGTGGTGATTCCTCAAGGACCTAGAAATAGAAATTCCATTTGACCCAGTAATCCCATTACTGGGTATATATCCAAAGGATTATAAATCGTTCTCCTATAAGGACACATGCACACAAATGTTCACTGTAGCACTGTTTACAATAGCAAAGACTTGGAACCAACCCAAATGCCCATCGATGATAGACTGGACAGGGAAAATGTGGCACATATACACCATGGAATATTATGCAGCCATCAAAAACGATGAGTTCGTGTCCTTTGCAGGGACATGGATGAACCTGGAAACCATCATTCTCAGCAAACTGACACAAGAACAGAAAATCAAACACCACATGTTCTCACCCACAGGTGGGTGTTGAACAATGAGAACACATGGACACAGGGATGGGAGCATCACACATTGGGGTCTGTTGGGGGGAAATAGGGGAGGGACAGCGGGGGGTAGGGAGTTGGGGAGAGATAGCATGGGGAGAAATGCCAGGTATAGGTGATGGGGAGGAAGGCAGCAAATCACACTGCCATGTGTGTACCTATGCAAAAATTTTGCATGTTCTTCACATGTACCCCAAAACCTAAAATGCAATTTTAAAAAACCATCTGCAACAGAATAGTATCAAGCTTTTAAAGAAACGAATTAACACTGAAGCCAGAGGCCCTTACAGTGTCTACACCCTTTCAACTTGAATGTCAGCATTGGCTGTATTACCAGAAGACTTGCATGACCTTTTCCTGAAATAAGCCTTCGTCTCCTAGTAACTCAATATCCTGGGTACACTTTTCCAGGTAGACTAGAGTTGGGTTCTGGTCTAGAGCTGCACTGTCCAATACAGCCCCCACAAGCCACATGGGGCTGTTGAGCACTTGAAAATGTGGCCAGTTGGAAGTAAGATGTACTGCAAGCGTAACATACACACGGGAATTTGAAGACGTACCAAAAAAAAAAAGGATATAACTCATTCAGCATTGATATTGACTGCAAGTTGAAATAGTATTTTGGATGCATTGGATTACATAGGATATACTATTAAAATTAACTCCACCTGCTTCTTTATGCATTTGCTGATACGACTACTAGAAAAATCATGCTTACCTATGTGGCTTGTATTATGTTTCTATTGCACAATGCTACTCTAGATATCAGCATCTAGAAAGTGACTGAGATTCAAACTCTTCAATGAAGCGCTTTTTGAATGCTCTACCCGAGAGATGATTCCACTCACTGCTCTGCTGTCGTCGCGGTCCTGACTTTCCAAGGCCATGCACAGAGCGCGGCACACGTGGCTCTTCCACGTAGGCGGGCCCGCACGTCAAGCTGCAGTGGAGGAGGTTACTCTGGGTCGCTGACGCCAGGGGAGGCCAAGCGACCGACCCCACACTGCTGAGCCCCGCCAGGGGAAGTCCCCGGGCGCGGAAACAGGTGGCGCGCCGGCGGCTCGCAGCTGCTGGGCCCCCGCGCTCGCACCCGCCTGGGCGCAGCCAGGAACAGCGACGCGCTTCCTGCCCGGGAAGGGCCCGAGCGCAGGGCACGCTATAGCGGTCCCGCAGCTGCCTGCTTCGATTTTAGCACTCCTGCTCCCAAGGGGGAGCAACGCAGCCCTCTGTCCCTCGTAGGGCTTGAAATGTAAACTATTCATATCAGGCGAATGTGTGTTTCAAAAAGCAAGCTGGACAAGAACTGATGGGTAATCCTCGCCAAATTCTCCTATTTAACCCTCACCGTGAAAAGCCTGAGGCCTGAAAAAAATCTCTTGACTAGAGACAGTAACTCCACTGGTGCCCGCGATCTGGATTTATGACATAAATGAACAGCATTCCAAATTCACTGATTTCTAAGAGTATTTAGACAGTAGAAAGTTATTAATCCTCTTTATTAGCTCAATACTTTGTTCATTCAGCATTTGCAGAGCAAGATCTGCTTGGATTTATTTAGTGAAAACTATCTTTTAAAACTACAAAGATTTTCATACTGACAGCCATTCATTAGTGAAGAAAAAAAAAACTACAAAGATTTAGTTGCAGTAGGCAAATTATATTTTTAAGCTTAACCCTGAGAAATTGTCCAAAAATATATACGATATACACACCACTTATGATTGCTGAATAAATGCATTATATACAATTTATGTTTAGTTCAATGTTTAGCAAGAGTGAACGATTTGTTAGATGATTCGTTTCCTCATTTCACAGTGCAGAGTAGACACAAATGGACCTTATATCTTCTCCAGACAACTGTCATCCCCAATATTATTCACCTAGGCAAATCTTAGTTCAAGAGTTTGTGACAAAAGCTGACCTACAGGACTAAAACTGTGCTTACCTTATAGGAAAAGAAAATGTAATCAAATGAACAATAATTTTTCAAGTACATTATTCAAGGAGGAAATCAGCCCTGTAACAGAATCCATAAAACACCATGCTCCATCAGAGCCTCTTTTTGGTAACAAAATGACCAAGTATTCTCTCCAATTAATTTGAATAGCAAACTACCATTTTCTAACGTGACTTAAATGGGTTTAATCAAGTAGGAGAATGAATCCAAGGGAAACCACTGACTCAGCTATAAAGTGCCTTACATCATACTGTATACATCAAACAATGAAATAATCTAGATTTCAAATTGCAAAAAAAAAAAAAAAAACTTTAAGTCTTACCCTCAAGATAAGATAGTAAAGCAGGAAATGCTGTCTGCTCACTGGCATTCCATAAAATATTCACTGTAATTTCTAGATTTCTAAGATACATCTACCTGGCAGAGGTGGTCTGTCAAGTCTGGGGTTTTCCACCTGTCCACTCTGGCAGCAATGGGGCTGATATTCACAGCCTGCAAGCCATCATCAGCATTCATAGCACCCCAGCAGATAACCGCATTAAACTCTTTCCTGCAAGTAAACACTTCACAATGTAAGAAGGTGAGAAAGACATTATTACTGAAATAAACCTGAAACTTGCTCTCAATCTATAGAAAAAGTACAATATTCACAAATATCAATACCATTACGAACTATTTGTAAGATCCCTCATAAATAACTGTGTTATAGCTGAGAACTGCAATGGAACTCCCACCACCAAAAGTGTTGTGGTTGTGTAAGCACCATTGTTATTTTCACTTACACATGTTCCTGAGAGGTCATGTTTTAAGCTGCTGAAAACTGATACAAGCTGTTAATTCTTTCAGGGATAAGGTGACTACCAGCAAGAGAAAAAAAAAGGAGGTAATGCGCTCCAGAGAGTAAGGAAGGGTCACAGAAGAGGGGGAGCGCTGTGGGTGGAGAAGGTCAGAGCCCATGGCTGTCCAAAAATGTGACTTGGCTGGGCCTAACAGAGGGGAGTAGCTCTTCTAAAAACGAAATCACCCCTGGAAATGATGCTGGTTGGCCCCTTGGGGCATATATTTTTTGAGTTATTGATTCACTTAACTCGTTACCACTAGTCCCAGCCTTCCTGTGAGACATACATATATTTGGAGAATGGAAATAATAAGCTTGCTACCACAGACCAGGTTAGTAAGATGAGAAGATAAAGAGTTTTTAGAGTTTTTATTATTCAAAATTAGTCTCATTTCAATTCAGGCATCTGAAAGAAGGTTCTATTCTGTCACTCTGACACAGCATAAGATCAGTAGTTTATTCCAATGAAGTATTCCACCCAAATGAAAGCATTACATGCAAGTAGTAATTTATTTCAATCACTCCTATTTGAAGGTTCTTATTTTTGGAGAACAGCCAGGCATTTTATTATCCACTCCTTCCATTCCTTAAAGGCTTCCACGGGTTTCGGTAAATTCCCATTATCCTCAGGACTGTGTTTTGGAGTTGCTCCAAGTGTGCCAGCAGATTCATCATCAATCCACTGCACCAGTGCCTGGAAAAACATAGAAGACGCGCGTTCTAACAAACCACGGCAAAATAGATCAGGCAAGAGAAGAATATTGGCCTCTAGATCATGGGGTGACATATTACCCCAAGGAGATGCTGCATTTGATAATTATGGTATGAATATGAAATAATGCTGATAAACTCAGTGAAAGGGCACCTACCAAATACACACAGAATTACAAATTATGTCAAAAGTATGCCCTGAAAAAAGATGAAAAAGAAATACACTAATTCTTACCCTTTTTTCCTAGCATGATAGGATATTATTTTTTCTCAACTTGCTAAGTATTCCACAAGGCATTATATTAATTTGATATGTACATATGTAAGTGTACACACAGGCATGGGTAGACATATGCATGTGAAAACACGTGTGTAGACATTTCTGTGCAGTCACCTGAATACGCAGTCATACCCATGAGTAGCCACATGAATGTATACTGATGTTTGTGGGCATGTGTGGGCACACACCCACGCACACTGAGATTAGGTACTTTCCTTCTTCCTTTTTATAAAAAATCATTTTTTTCTCCTAATGAACATCATACCTCTGTCCCGTATTTGGAAAGATAAATCCTGTGCACAGACTTACAGGGTTTAAAAAATGAACTTTGCCACACGTATCTATATTTATTCTGTTCTGCAAAGTCAAGCTCTCTTGCCCTAAATGGAAGAGAAGTAGAGAAACTTCTTCCTCTACTCCTCATCAAACTGTTAGCATAAATCACTCAAAGGCAAGCTGAAGTTTTTAAGAAGGGCATTTCTTTGCATTTGTTTTTTTTTTTTTTTTTTAAACCACAGCTTCCTGCTAATCTTTACACTAATTTCCTCTGATAAATTATAGCTCTAGAGAAGGATATAATAGAAATGTCAGTTTGCTACTGAGATAACCACTTCCCCCCATTTACACCATCCAGCCCCCAACTTACTTTGTATCTTTCTACAATGCTGAAGCCAATAGCACACTGCAACTTGCGCAAACAGATAGGGCATAGGTTTAGAGGGCGCCGGTCAGCTTCTTCCAAGTGGTTGGAGCCTTGCATTAGGCATGCAAGCCACTGGCAGTGTCGTAGTCCAAATATGTGTCCAATCTCATGGGTTAAAGTCTGCAGTACAATCACGTTGAGGCGTTATAAGACTACCATCACATTAAGCTACGCATCTCTTCTTTTTCTTGCTTTTCCAAGAAAAATAGGAATCAACTCTCTTACCATTATCGCCAAAACTTCACCCTGTCCAGACCTTCAAAGACTTAATAATCCCTCATTTTCCCAAATGTCTTGTTGCTTTTCTTGCTATACACTTCCTCAACCTCAACACTGCTGACATGCTGGACAGATAATACCAGGTTGTGGGAGGTTGTCCTGTGCACTGTACGATGCTTTGCAGCATCCCTGGTTCTACCCACTAGATGCCAACAGAACTCCCTCCCTGATTGTGAGAATCAAAAATGTCTCCAGAAATTGCTAATATTCCCTGGATGGCAAAATCACCCCTGGTTGAGAAACCTTGATCTAAACTAGGGTACTTGTAATGGAGATTCTAGGGTCCTTTCCCTAGAGATGCTGACTTCAGTAGGTCTGACAGAAAGGGGGCTTGATATGCATGCTAATGAGAACATCAGGTGACAATGACACAGGGGCCCATGGAACACACTTTGAGAATGTAGTTCTAAGAGGCACAGCTCTCAAACCAACAAATACTACAGGTGAAAGCAGAATTTATCTAGCTAAAGGAAAAGCCTATCTCTCTGGCTCTGGAGAAAGGGGAGCTAGGCTTTTGAAAAAAACCAAGTCGGGGAGATCAGGAACTGCCAGGACAACTACAGTCCAGGGTATCCTGGAGCCCAGGGCAGGAAGGCCCATGCTCCCAGAAAGGCCAGAGAACAGAGGTCCTCCAAACACCTGGGGAAGGCAGCTTTGCCCAATGATCACAGTGGCTTGAAAAAGCAGGTTATCCACTCACACCAGAATTCAGGAATTACACTAATAGAGGACATGGCTACAGCCAAGGGTGCGTGTAACTAGTACAAGAACCTGGCACTGATATTGTAAATTTCAATATGAAGGTATCCATTTAAATTGTTTTACTGATCATTTCAGTCAAGCACTATGCACCAAAATTATACAAATGACACAAACTCATTTATAATATCGCCTTAGGACTGACACTATACAATTTAGGGAACAAAGATCTTTTTTAAAAAATGGTCCTGTCAGATTTTTTTTTTAACAACTTACCTTACAGGATCGAAGCAGTAAAACACTAGTTATTTCTGGAATATAATAGTTGTCAAAAATTGAATAGTCACTTGAAGATGTTTTCTTGAGCTTCTTCACTTTGCCTTCATAGCGCAAGCTATAAAAATCGCTGCCGTACCTGGCAAAGCTGAATATCCCCACACCTACAAAAAGAGGACAAGTGGTGACAGAATGAGAGTCAGGTCCCTGAGGAAAGACCAAACAAAGAAGAGCCTGCTGGCCCATCTAGCCAGTGAGTGCCCCTCTGTGTCACTGTGTCCACACCATCTGATGTACTTATAGTTTGCCAACAAAGACTTTTGTCCCAGATTCCCCTATCAAAATCATATGCTGCTATCCACTTTGCCTTGCCGTGTAAAACTTAATGGACTTGAGGTCAAATTCTTGAGAAACTGAAGTTTCAGAGAGTCTTTTCCCACAAAAGAAGTCTTTTTTCTGAAAGTAGCAAGTACTCCAAATCAAGTACTCAAAATGGAATCATAAAAAATAATCACATGAGTCGGGTGTGGTGGCTCACACCTGTAATCCCAGCACTTTGGGAGGCCAAGGCAAGTGGATCACCTGAGCTCAGGAGTTCAAGACCAGCCTGGCTAACATGGTGAAACTCTGTCTCTACAAAAATACAAAAATTAGCCAGGCATGATGGTGGGTGCCTGTAATCCCAGCTACTTGGGAGGCCAAGGCAGGAGAATGGCTTGAACCCAAGCATCGGAGTTGCAGTGAGCCAAGATGGTGCCATTGCACTCCAGCCTGGCAACAGAGCGAGACTCCATCTCAA